AACACCACCACACACAACACACGACCAGCAGCAACAGCAGCAGCATCCACCTGCCACGCCAACATGCATGCTTACGGCCTTTCCGTCCCTCCATATTTCTCAGCCCACTTCTTCGTGCTCTCCTTCTTTTCTTGTGCTTTGTCTTCTTCATCTGCTCTGTCATCCCATGTCGTGTCACACCAACCCAAGCCCAACCAGAGCATAGCTGCTTTCGTTCTGTCTCATTCCAATCCCACACCATCCTTTCTTCGTCTTTCAACTCTCCATCTTCCCTTCCTCACACTCACACACACACGCAGCACACACACTCACACTCACACACACACACACATTCTACCTCTTCTTCTTCTTCTTCTTCTTCGATCATTTGCTTGCACGTTCCACCCTGTCCTTCGTGCAATCAAGCATGCGGTGCCGCTCACACACATGTCCATTTTCCTTATCCATCTTCCGTTTCATCGACACACACATACACTGCACGCACACCCGCCTGGCACTCACCACCACCAGATACAGAGGCAGAGCCGAGAGGCCACCGTCCCACCGTCGCCACTGCACGTTTCGCCCTCTTGTCCCGCCTACTGGCCATCTGGCAATCTTGGGTAAGTGTCTTGCACGTGCGATCAGTGCCATGACGCCACGTGTCCCGCTCTCCCTCTGTCATGCTGTGTTGCGTGGCCTCGGCGAGTGTGCGGTGTGACACTTGGCGTGTGGCGTGGCGCTTAGTTTGTTTGTTTATGTTTTGGCTTGTTGTTGTGGGTGGCTGGCTGGGTGGCTGGCTGTCTTACGTGTCATGTCGTGTCGTTTGCTAGAAGGAGAACGTCAGCAGCACCCCACCCGCGCGCGCGCTTCTTGCCGTGTGTGATGCGCTTCTTGCCGTGTGTGATGCGACTCGACTTTTTTGTTGTCCCTTCGGTTGACTCGAATGTGACAACTTCCACAGTGCGCGTTCCTTCTCACGACTCCACGTCACTTTCCTCTCTCCTCTTCACACCGCCACCCACGTCCACAACAGCGCTAAAAGGTGTCCACGCTTAGTGCCCGTGGGGACAACCAGCACACCAACGGGGTCACCGTTGGTCGAGCCAAAACCACCACAACCGCGCCGCGCTCATATACCCATACTCACGCGACCCCACCCGCCTGGGCCTGCCGACTGACCACGTCAACTGCCAGAAGCAGTCAGCAGCACGATGTGAGTATTTTTGGTCTGCTTGTTCCCCCCCCCCTCTTCAAACGTGCCGGGTGTTGAGTACGCCACCCACACAGCGTGTATATGTGTGGCGTGTCCGTGTTGTCCTTTGTTGTCGTCATGTGGGGTTGGGCAGGGTGGTGGTTGTTGTTGTTGTGTGCGTTTGTTCTTGCTTCACCAACACCACGTCACACATTCGCGACACACGGCCCAGCCATTTTCATGCGCACATCAGTGTTGTATTGCCCCTGTATTGCTGTTTGTTAAGTCGGCAACAGTCCCACACACACACACAAATACCCACACAAATACCCACACGCACGCACCTCACGATCGCATCATTGGCATAGTGACCGGCCTCATCTTCGACTTTCGCGTGCAACCGACTCAACCGACCCCTTGACCCCTCTACCCCCGTGCAGCGTGAGTTGATGATGCCGTGCACATGCATGCGTGCGTGAATGTGCTGGCGTGGTGCAGGCAGGGCTTACGGGTGTGCGCATGCGCATGCGTGTGCTTGTGTTGTGTTGTGTTGTGTTGTGTTGTGTTGTGTTGTGTTGTGTTGTGTTGTGCATGTGACAAGATTACTTGAACCCTCACGCGTGCGCACACACCCTTCCTTGCTCAGCTGGCACACTCGGGCATTGCCGGCACGAGCAGACAAGCAAACCTCTCAGGCACCGCCTCCATTCTTTCATTGTGAGTTGTTTGGATTTACAAGCTTGACTTGCATCATTCATTCCCCTCCAGCCGCCCCACTACGGTGGTTCTGGCCATTCTGGTTCACCAGATTTCTGTGCATTTCTGTGACGTACACACACACACACACACACACACACACACACACACACACACACACACACACACACACACACACACACACACACACACACACACACACACACACACACACACACACACACACACACACACACACACACACACACACACACACACACACACACACACACACACACACACGGCACGTCAACGTCACGATTGTCGATGTACACACCACGATGTTGCACACGCCACGATTCCACGAACCATTCATGCGCCCGCAACCTTCGCGCCGACTTCACCACGCACATCAGTCAACTAACGCATGCTGTTATGTTCCAACCCCCCTCCCCCTTGTGGCCACAATGTACGTGCGCTTGCTTTCTTCTGAAGTTCTTGAGGAGGTCGAGACACGCGCGAACGCTCGCACCCAAAGGCGCGCAACGAGTCTTTAGCGCCGAGGCAAACCCGCAACAAGCAGCACATTCAGCCTCAGCCATTGGTCCTGTCCTCCCTCACATCGTCAGCACCGGCCCCAGCGAGACTTCATACGCACGTGCGTGAGCAAGAGGCTGGCCCCGCGGTTTCCACACCCTTGTATGTGGAATCCTGAATCGGCACACATCGAGGGCGACGTGGGCGGTGTTGCTGTGGGCGAGTTTGGTGGGAATGAGACACAGAGCAGCAACGGCAACAGCCACAACAACAGGACGATGGAGGAGGAGGGGGAGCACGCTTGCTGCAGTCCAGGTGACCGCGCAGCACGCGGTGTGACCCATGACAGCAACGACAACAACAACGACAACAGCACCAGCAACAACAACAGCAACAACAACAGCAACAACAACAGCAACAACAGCAACAACAGCAACAACAGCAACAACAGCAATAACAACGACGATACAGCTGGTACCCGCATGTTTACCAGTGACACCAGCCACGACAGAGAGGAGGAGGAGGACGAGGACGAGGAGGAGGACGAGGAGGAGAATCAACAGCAGCACGTGGTGCAGGTGCAGGTACCACAACATGTGGATACTGGTGGCGCCCCACTACTGGACACTGATGGTGCCCCACTACATCACCCATTACAGCCATCTGTGACGTCACTGGAAGCGAGTTCGCGCCAGGGACAAGTACCCATCACAACCGTGGCGTCGACCATCACACGAGACACTGAGCTGCGCTGTGGACTGGACGCCATTCTACAGAAAGGTGGCGGCAACAGCGGTGCATTACGGGCAGACGGAGAACGAGAAGAAGATGAAGGAGCGGGAGCGGAGAGGGGAAGTGTTGTGGGCTTTGAAGCAGGCAAGCGCGTGCTGTTTGATTGGCTGATAGGGGAGCGCGTTGGTGATGGGCAGGTGATGCGCGCGTGCGATGTCATCAAGCACTTCCTATCTGCCCTCGTGGGCCAGCACCGACAACAGCAGCAGGACGGCGAGGAAGAGCTGGAGGAAAAGGTAGAGGATGGAATGGTGTTGGTACCTGACGCCGATGCTGGTGCCACTGCCGCTGCGAATACTGCTGCTGCTAATGATGATGATGAGGAGGATGATGAGGAGGATGATGCAAGTGGCGGTGTGGGTGGCGGTGTGCAACAGCCGGAGCATGCCATCCATGCCGAAGCAGCAACGGCCAATGCTGTTGCGGCTGCACTGCAACAACCACACCCGCCCGTGCCCAACACACAGTCAGCGCCAGGTTTGGAGTCGGGTGAAAGCAAACTGCATCAGCACGACGAAGCTGCATCCGATGGCGCGTTGCCTGCAAGCAAACGCCCCAAGCTTGGCAGTGAGACCCTTGGCGTGCAGACGCGCCAAGGTCTGGTTTCCCCGCAAGAAGAGGATGACAGTATGCGTCAACAACAACGACAACAACAACAACGACAACAACAGCGACAACGACAGCAGCAGCAGCAGCAGCAGCAGCAGCAGAAGCTGGAGGAAAAGGAGGGGGAGGAGTTGATTGCGCAATTTGCACCCCAAGTTGCATCCACCTCGTTGCCTTCGTTGTCATCAATGTCGTCGGTGCTGGGGGGATCGACAACCCCACTCGATGGAAGTCTTTCGTTGGAAGGACAGGACTTGTTACGGTCGCTGTTTGCTCGTGCATCAACCGCCACCTCCACGCCAATGCCATCATCAATGCCATCGTCATCGTCATTGTCGTCGTTGCCGTCAACGATCACGCGGCAACGGCAGCTTGACGCGGCACCGCACGCATCGTCCCCCGCGCCCTTTTCCCCACCGCTGATTCCCTCGCAGCCAGCGGCAGCAGCAGCAGCAGGCAGCCTCCAAGAGACAGACAGAGAGCAACAGCAGCAACAACAACAACAACAACAACAACAACAACAACAACAACAACAACAACAACAACAACAACAACAACAACAACAACAACAACAACAACAACAACAACAACAACAACAACAACAACAACAACAGGACCTGTCGGGCTTGTCATCTGCGCAGCTGCTGCATCTGATCATGACGATGGCGGGTGACGAGCAACTCCTTGGCTGTGACGCAGCCAGCGGCAATGCTCGTGTCAGTAGTGGTAGTGGTGGTGGTGGTGGTGGTGTCAACCACGCCGTTTCGTCACCTGCAAGCTGGGCGCCGTTTGTACAGAGCCTCCAGCAACAACAGCAGCAACAGCAAGAAGAGCAGCAGCAACAACAACAACAGCAGCACCAACACCAAGAAGAAGAAGAACAACAACAGCAGCAGCAGCAGCAGCATCTATTTCAGCACCGTCGCTCGCGCTCACATCACGGCTCACATCACGGCTCACATCCATTGAGCCATGAAACTGCACAGGGCACAACACGGGGCACGCCCACCACAGCCTCATTTTCGAATGCTGACGTACAGCACCCGCACTTTCCACTCATCTCCATTGCCCCAACGCAAACGCCTCAGCCAATGCTGCTTCAGTCATCTGACCAGCCGAACCAACCGCAAGACCAACACCAGCACCAGCAGCGCATGTTCTCTGCACCACACCACCAACACCAGCACCACCAGCAGCAGCCATTGCAACTGCATCCAACGCACCCACAACAACAAGTCGGCCTACCACACCACAACCACCACCACCACCACCAGCAGCAGCAGCAGCAGCAGCAGCAGCAGCAGCAATACCAACAACTGCAACAGCTGCAGCAAACTCACACGCTGCACCAGCTGCTGGGCACGGGCGACGTTGATCCAAGCGTTGTTCCCCTCCTCGTCCAACTCATGCTGCCGACACTGCACACGGGTGGTCACACAATCACCGCCACCACTGCGGGCAGCAGCATTGGTGTGGCGTCAGCGCTGGCAACGCCGCGTGTTGGCATTGGCGATGGGATGATGACGACGATGAGGACGAGGAGGATGAGTGCTCGCGGCAGTCGCCGTGGGTGTGGCCGCTTCAGTGGTCACAGCGGTAGCGGTAGCAGCGTGGGAGGCGCACGCACGCCAACACCAACACCAATACCAACACCAACACCAACACCAACACCAACAACAGCGCAAGCACTGCCACAACCACACGTGGGTCATGGCCTCGCTGGTGTCGGCGTTGCGGGTGTTGGCGGTGCACCGAATCTGGCAGCAGTCCCAACCACAGCCACAGCCACAACCAAGGGACCCTCGTCATCATCATCATCAGCGGCACCAGGGCCAGCATCGGGCGCCAGTGGCCGCGGCAAGAAGGAGCGCACGTGCGTGTGTCCAATCTGTTCTGGTCCCGGCCGCCGCACAGAGCTGCAGTACGTGATGCAATCAAATGTGCGGCCGATGGCGTTTTGTTTGTTTGTTTGGTTGGTTGTTTGTTTGGTTGTTTGGTTGTTTGTCTGTTTGTTTGTGTGTTTGTTTGTTCGTTCGTTTGTTTGTTTGTGTGTTTGTGTGTTTGTGTGCGTGCATGTGCTGTCTCGTGTGCTGTCCTGTGTCTTCGTCTCACCAGCACCCTCACCATCACTCCCAATACCAACAATGTTGTCAGGATCTGTGGCACGTGCTACGGTGGCGTGTACAACGACATTCGCAAATGGATTTCATCACGGCAGGTCATCCAGGAGCCCACAACCATCCACGAATTCATTGGCGGTGCGTGCGTTTGCATTCGTGCTTTTGTTTGCGTTGACATATGTGTGCATTAATGTTTGTGTGTTTTGTTGTCGAGTTGGGTTCACATCAACCTATTGGCCATTAACCACACACGCACAAACATACACACACGCAACATGCAACACGGATTCATGTGTTCCTGTCTCATCTTGAATCATGTTACGCGTGCTACAGTGTTGAAGCGCCTGCCACGTGGCTGTCGCAATCACTACAACTGCTCACCCGCTGCGTACACACACAACATCCCAGCATGTATGCACGTGCATCCTTGTCGTGTGTCGCATTGCTGCCTACATCTCGTACATGTACACGTGTGCATATGTGTGTGTGTGCATGTGTGTGCATGTGTGTGTTCGTACGAATGTGCATGTGTATGTGTTCATGATGGATAAGATCGGAAATGTGCATCTCACGTCATCCATCACCAACACCACCAACATCACCACCAACATCACCACCAACATCACCATCATCACGGTGCAGACCAGCGGTGTACGCGCTGCCGCTCGATTGCGACGTCTCTCCGCTCCCCTCATGTCATCCTCGCAAGTAAGTTGTTGTCAGAGCGGTGGTGGCGGCGGTGATGATGATGATGGCAATATGGAGTTTGCGATGTACCTGTTTGACATGAACACACACGTGAACACACACGTGAACACACACATGAACACACACACGAACACACACACGAACACACACACGCACACACACATACACACACACACACACACACATACACACACACACACGCACGCACGCACACACGCACACGGCACACCACGCGGCACTACAGTACGCGCCAAATCACCCGCGAGCATGTTTGGATGTTTGAACACTGCCACTGCTTCCCATCATGACCTCACTCCTGTCCCGCCTTCTCCTCTCTTCGCCCGTCTTCCACTACCTTCTTCCATCCATCATCATCATCACGTGCACACGAATTGTTAGTGGTTCAAAAAGCGCTCAATCGCCCGAACGAGCGGGCCGCGGACGACGAGTCGTGACCACTGCTGCTGGTGCCTCCGGTCGTGGCAGCAGCAACCTGACCATGGCGATTATGGTGACACTATCCTGTGACATCCATCGCCATTCAACGCTTCCAACCCACTCCATTCAACCCATTCAACCCATTCAACCCACTCAACCCATTCAACCATCTATTCAGGCCATCTATCTGTCCCTCCCATACTGTGTGATTCAAACTTCGCTTTCAGTTTGCCTTGCATTTGATTTGCCCGTTTCCCCTAATCGCCAGCTGCTTGTGCATGTGCATGCGCGTGTATACATGTGTGTGTGGATGGGTGCGTGTGCATGTGTGAATACCTTGATTAGCGTGCATGTCTTGTGCTTTGCGTTTGGTTTTGTTTATACTTTTGTCACTTCTGTTCTTTCGGTTCTTTGTCATCAGGAGCACTTACCATATCAACACCACATACAACTTGACGACGTGCACGTGCGTACAGGCGCGCAGGCAGCCACCCGCTTGCCCGTGCACACACATGTACACATATTCATATGTACGCATACGCACACGCGCATATGGACGTGTGCACTCGTCGTGTTGGCGTGAAGGTTGCGGCAATGCAGAGAGAAGATAAACAGTTAACCAGCCTCCATCACATGCAAGAAAAGAGGGGTACGGGTGACAAGTTTGGAGGGGGATGGTGATTCGCGGTGCATGGCGCCGCGTGTGCAGTGTGGCATGTGGCGTATGCCGTACATGCGAACATGCAAGACGTGTCGCATACAACGAGGGGGGGGGGGCAACGACACAACGAGCAAGTTCACGTGTCTGTGGCGAAAAGGGCGTGCAAAACAACGAGGGCAAACGCTACGAGTGTGAGGAAGAGCGTGAAGCCGAGACTGTGGTCGCACTGGGGAACGACACGGCGCAGGTAGGACTGGATGGCCTTATGGTTTCTTGCGTAATGGAGGGGGCTCCGCCCCTGTTGAATCACACGATGGCGTTTGGGCGGGTTGAAATGGAACGGGGGTGAGGTTGGGGTGCAGCATGAGTAGGTGTGTTTGGGGCGGATGGGATTGAGAGTGAAGGTAGGGTAGAGAGAGACAAGTGCACACACACACACATGCAGACGGAAAGGAAACAAACACAGACACACACACACAGACACAGACACACACATACACACGCACACACATACACACAGCCACACATACACACAGCCACACATAAACACAGCCACACACAAACCAACCAACAAAAAACAAACAAACAACACAATACAACACAGCAACGCAACCCTGACCGTGTCTGTGACGTGGATGCATGCCCCTTGCTGCACGAGCAATTTGACCATCTCCTCATTCTTCCGCTCAATCGCCAGTCGCAGCAGCGAATCCCGCTCCTGAACAGCACAAGGCGTGATGGTGGTGCGTATGTGTGTTGTGTGTTGTGTGTTGTGTGGTGTCATGTGTGTTGTGTGGTGTCATGTGTGTTGTGTGGTGTCATGTGTGTTGTGTGTTGTTTGTTGTGTGTGCGTATGTGTGTGTGTGTGTGTGACGGACCGTGCCTTTGCCGAGAAACCTTGAGACCGCATTGAAGGATGGCTGTGACAATCAATCAGGCATGCGTGTACGCGCAGGTGAGATGAATGTCACATGCGATCGTGATTGTCGACATACACACACACACACACAAACACACACAAGTGTGCACCTCCTCTGTGCTGGCGATGGTGACACCAGATGCAAACAGCATTCGCGTAATGCCGATGTTGTCGGCCGTGATGACCCGTTCCATGGCCATGTGTGCGTGCTCCTACAAAGATAGATGAACCATCAGCCGCGCAGTGAGGCGCCAGCAGTAGAATCCAAGTCACGGGCAGCGTGAGCCAGGGAGAACCAACACCAGCCAAGTAACTCGCAGCATTGTGTGTGTGTGTGTGTGTGTGTGTGTGTGTGTGTGTGTGTGTGTGTGTGTGTGTGTGTGTGTGTGTGTGTGTGTGTGTGCACGAGCACACCGTCATGCACCCAACTCCTGACTCTCTCGTTGTCATTGTTTGTTGTTGCTCACCACTGGAACGATGGCGCCTCGATCAACAAGAAAGGAGACGACTTCCGCATTCATGGTCTTGCATGCTTCATACAACGGTGTGTACCCCTTCTGTCTTCGTGCAGCGCATGCAGATGCAACACGCTTTGTCAACTCAGAAGGCCACATGGAAGCCGACACATACACACGCATACAGGCGGATAGACAGAAACGTAGACAGAAACACACAAAACACAACAGACACAACAAACACACACACACACAACACAACACACACAACACAGACACACAGGCACAACACAGACACACACACACACACAGTGCGTACCCGGGAGCGCATGTTGATGTTGGCGCCATCTTGCAAGAGCACGCGAATCGCATCCAAGTTGCCCTCTCGCACCGCAGTGAACAACGGGTGTGGTGCCTGCAGCATGAACGGACGGACACGCACATGGAAGGTAGCGAAGTTGGACGCGTGTTGTTGCACGTCCACACATGTGTGAGCACGCACACTTGTGCCGGAACCCCCATCGCCCCCACATACACTCTCACTCACATATACTCACTCACACACACTCACACACGGCATGTTGTGTTCCAAGGACAGGATAAGCGAGAGCGACAGCGCCGTCACACCTGCGCCCTGGCGTTTTGTCCTCCAAAGGCGGCCGACAAGAGCGCGCCCATGGCCACACAATCAAACGCTTGCTTGTGACACACCTCACACCTCACAAGCCACGTGTGTGTGTGTGTGTGTGTGTGTGTGTGTGTGTGTGTGTGTGTGTGTGTGTGTGTGTGTGTGTGTGTGTGTGTGTGTGTGTGTGTGTGTGTGTGTGTGTGTGTGTGTGTGTGTGGTAGGGAGGGTAGGGGTAGGGTAGGTAGGTAGTAGTAGTAGTAGGTAGG